CCCAGGTTACTCAGTCGCAGACCAAATTCGACCATGTTATACAGAAATTACCTCAAAACATCATGGTTTCGGTTCGAGGATTGATTATGAACGCCACCTCGTCCTCTACTCCTTATGAAGATCTAAAGGCGAAGCTGGTNATGCCCGATTCGCCATATGGTTCCTATGAAACCTTTATAAACAGTTTTCAAAATTATAAACATTCATATCAAATTAATACTTTGCCATCTTTACATGGAGAGTCATTTTAAGATGTATCTTTACAGAATAGAGATCTCTAGCTTAAACAAATTGGAGTTCTTTCCTGGTATATTTGTTTCTATAGAAACTAGTGTTTTTGTTCACCATAGTCATTGAAGGTCATTCTTAAATAACATTTTTACCTCAAGCTTCTTTGTGGCATTTATACCAGTTGTAATCGATAGTACTCGCTCCCCTTTGATTGGAATATGATAAGAATCATATCTCACGTATTTTTTTAAAATGTTTTTGTTTTGTTTTTATAGCTACTTTAATGGAACCATGTAGCAGATGTATTATGATATTTTTAGCTACTTTAATGGAACCATGTAGCAGATGTATTATGATATTTTTAGCTACTTTAATGGAACCATGTAGCAGATGTATTACATGTGGTTGCAGAGGGGTACACATAGGCCAATAAAATGTGTAGGCTCCACATGTGGTTGCAGAGGGGTACACATAGGCCCTCTGACCTCTATAACATATTTGTTTATCAGTGTGAGATAATTATGAAACAGCATGATATATCAACAAATATTACCATTATTATTATTATTTATATTATTTCTGGTTCTATAGTGCTTAGTTAGACCAATGGTTTACATGATTTATACATATCATTAATCTTTATAATAAAGCTCTTCCCTAATACATTGATAACCAGAACACTCTAAAAGACTACTATAAGCAATACAGAATTGTATTTGATGTTGTTACACAGCAAATTATGTTATTAGACACTTATCAGTTATTAAATCACTAACTAAGTGAAATGGGTGGTCTGTTTACACTGCACGATTTCTGTTTCCAATTCTCATTAGACTATTTAAAAAACATAACTTGAGTCTAAAGGTAGTTTTTCTATTTCTGAGTTTTCTAGTTGCAGAGGGGTAAACATAGGCCAATAAAATGTGTAGGCTCCACATGTGGTTGCAGAGGGGTACACATAGGCCAATAAAATGTGTAGGCTCCACATGTGGTTGCAGAGGGGTACACATAGGCCAATAAAATGTGTAGGCTCCACATGTGGTTGCAGAGGGGTACACATAGGCCAATAAAATGTGTAGGCTCCACATGTGGTTGCAGAGGGGTACACATAGGCTAATAACATTATGTAGGCACCACCTGTGGTTGCATAGGGGTACACATAGGCTAATAGAATTGTGTTCTTTAAACACTGGGCAACGCCGAGTGCTACAGCATTTACATGCACACTCAAAGAACTTTCAAATTTCAAAATTTGTTGAAGCACCAGCATCAAATTAATTTATTCATTTATCTTTTTGAGCCATACATTTCTTGGATCGTACCGAATCGAATTTTTTTTATTGCAAAAACAAAGTTTCCTTAAATATTATGTTATTTAATTTATTCCTAGTAACTTTCTGATTAACTCATAAAATGTTCTATGTGATACCAAATATTTTTAAGATCTAGATGTTTATTTTCTTCGTATCGAGATTATATTAAAGATACAAAATTGTTTATATTATTTTTACAAAAAACTATTTTACGATAGTGGCATGTTAATACATTTGTATTTTAGTTAAGAAAATACTTTAGTTTACGGATACATTTTTTTCATTTTTTCTTTCCAAAATTCATATTACATTCAGTTTCTTAGGGAAAAAGAACCTTTTTCAAGTATTTTGGACTATGGAATTGATAAGAGTTATAGTAATGCTGAGAATATAGTTCTCTTTTTTGTAAATAGATTGTGTGAAATTAAAGAACATCATTATCTATTCAAATATTGCACCCTGAACTAACCAGAGAGAGAAGCATTCGGTTTCTTCTATTTGAAATCAAACGTGTTTTCGTCTATATTTTTTACAATCTTTCAACTTACGGATTTGTTTATTTTATACTTTTTCATTCAAAATGTACATGCCAACAAAAAATTATTTAAGAATAAAGGATATAAAATTATGTATAAGGGGTCAAATTGTGATCGAAAGTCACAGCTTTCTGAAATACTGACAGAACCGTTAAATCCACGTGATTGACAAAACAGCAGTTCCAGAGAAAAAATTTACATGTTATATAGCAAGATAGCATACTGATTCGCGATTTGAAATGGACACAAGACATTCACAATGTGTGCTATCGTTTATAGGAGTATGCGGCAAATACCAAATATACCAAATATTGAAGTTAAAAAATGAGTTTTTGCCACATACTAAAATTTCTAATCCCTATATCTTTGTAACCATCGACTACATAATTTGAAGTGATGATCTGGCAGAAATTATAGTTTGATATATTTGAGGTATATCACACCGGGTTGCAGAGATATATAAGGATTAAGACATCAGACTATGTGACGAAAACTCAGATCCTTTCTTCTAAAAATGAAGTATGTTTGTTATTGTATATTTGTAGTCAGGGTAAAGAGTATATTGTATTTTTATGAAATGTCTAAAACTCTTCTTTTTCTGAAGAAAAGATATTACTTTAGTCCTCAAACCAATACAAAAGTGAGGGAGAGAAATGTAGGATTTGATTTCTATCGGGGCGTATCTTGAAAACTGAATGCAGAAACAAGTGTCACATTTAATATTATTTGTCAAAAACAAAACAAAAAAATTTACATTTTTCCTACCGTTTTTTTGCCATTTGCTCCAACTTCCCTGGCACCCAAACTATTACAGTTGGCGGTCTAATTTTTATTAATGAGCTGGCCTTGAAAAATTAGGCTATAATCAATGATCATTTATTACAATTCTATACCTTTACTCTAATACCTTTTTATAGGGACGCCCCCCCCCCCCNGGGGTAGTGTTCCAGCCACCCATGTGTTTTTTCCAAATAACTTAAAAATGGCTGAGATTAGAACGCTTAAACTTCATCACCTTTTCAACTTAATAGTTCTTAACAAATTATGCACAAAGGAATTAAGTTTTTACCACAAACTAAGATTTTCTAATTCCTATAACTTAGCAACCCATTTTCCTAGACCTTTGCTATTTCAAACTATTAGTTCTGGTAAATAGTCTAAGTTTGAGATATCAAAGGTTTACACCATCAAGTTGCAAAGATATAGGGGTTCAAGGTTTACACCATCAAGTTGCAAAGATATAGGGGTTAGAAAATGTAAATTTATTGCAAAACTCAGTTCCTTTTTTATGCATAGGGTAGGGTGGAGGTCCGGAGAACAGTCAAACTGCGGGTCAGTGTTTCAAAATAATTTGAAATGGTTAATAACTTTTTTTTAAATTAAGCTACAGTGCTAAAATCTATATATTTATAAAGCCCTTAAAAAATAGATGTAATAAGATGTTTCAAATGTTAATATTTGTCAAAAGTAAAAAGAATTATTTTTGAACATTTATCTTACGTAATTTTTGATTTTTTTTAGATTCTCTCTTGCACCCAACCCATTAAAGTTAGAGGTCAATTTTTTTAATGAGTAGGCCTTTACATATTGGACTAGGGACCCCCCCCCCATCTATTAAATAAAAAAGTCACTTAAAAAATGGTATAATTACAACTGACCCTGCAAGCAAAGATGGCAATGCCCGATTCGCCATATGGTTCCTATGAAACCTTTATAAACAGTTTTCAAAATTATAAACATTCATATCAAATTAATACTTTGCCATCTTTACATGGAGAGTCATTTTAAGATGTATCTTTACAGAATAGAGATCTCTAGCTTAAACAAATTGGAGTTCTTTCCTGGTATATTTGTTTCTATAGAAACTAGTGTTTTTGTTCACCATAGTCATTGAAGGTCATTCTTAAATAACATTTTTACCTCAAGCTTCTTTGTGGCATTTATACCAGTTGTAATCGATAGTACTCGCTCCCCTTTGATTGGAATATGATAAGAATCATATCTCACGTATTTTTTTAAAATGTTTTTGTTTTGTTTTTATAGCTACTTTAATGGAACCATGTAGCAGATGTATTATGATATTTTTAGCTACTTTAATGGAACCATGTAGCAGATGTATTATGATATTTTTAGCTACTTTAATGGAACCATGTAGCAGATGTATTATGATATTTTTGTCCACTCCTTCGCCCCCGACAGGCGTAAATACATTTACTCTTTCTATTTCAAAGTTTGACTTATGAAAAATGATGAAATTTAAATTAACCCCCCCCAAGTGATTATAAAATCAGAGTTTGTGGCAAAGACTCAATTCCTTTGTCTCATAGGATCCTTATTATGGTAACAAAAATATTCAGGCAAAAGTTTCTAAACTGGGCTATCTTCCATTTTTAGCTTTTCTTCTTTGTTTAATGAGACAAATTGTTTCAGATTTATTTATTTTTAAAAAATATGTTTTTTAAAGCAAGTAAAACGATTTCGAAAAGTGCCTTAATTTCGTTAGGAAAAAGAGATTTTATGTTGATTTAAGCAATTTAGACACATTTCCGATCATAATATTTAAAATAGAATAATTTGTTGTTTTGCAATCTTAGATTGTCGAATAAATTGTTTCAATGGTCTTTATGGAAGTTTCGTTGTAAAATATAAAAACACATTCATGATTTTCTTGCCATAAAAAATAATTTTAATGGAAAAAAATCAGTGTTTACATTAATCACGAGGTCTGGAGGATTAATATAATTTTATCCAATTATTCTTGGATAAATAGATGATCATATGGTTAATATCCCTGGGGGGTGTTCAACAGTTGGATAATAAACTAATCCCTCGATATACACACCAGAGGGATGCTACAGTCCATCATCTGTAAGATTTGTGTATCCTCTCTCTTCTCCGGAGGCTGGAGCTACAGGCTGGTGTGTCCTCAGGTCTGAATAAACCTGGCAGCCTCAGTACCAAGATTAGTGGGGAGGATGACGGGCGTAGTCCCAACTCCTCCCTCTTCCAGTGCCAACAGCAGGAATAGATCTCACTCGTTAACATTTCCACGCCACGGTGCACCACCCCACCTTACATCCCCCGCTCCACCACCACCTGCTCCTAGCAGTCCACAGAACTCACGTGCAAGAACAGACAATGCGCGGCGCTCAAGTGCAAGTGCCGCGCTTAATAGTGACCAATTTGTGATAGATCACCTGGGCACGATGGGCCTAGGTCGGCATCAGTCATCTTTGTTTAGTGTGAAGGAGGGAGGGGAGTCTGCACTGCTACAGGTAGGATAATTTACCTGGTGGGATCCAGAGCCTCAGATTCCAGGATATATCACACTAGCAAACCACAAACCAAGGGGAGAGGGGATATCACACTCTGAAACCACAAACCAAGGGGAGGGGGGATATTACACTCTTATACCACAAACCCAGGGGAGGGGGGATATTACACTCTTATACCACAAACCCAGGGGAGGGGGGATATTACACTCTTAACCCACAAACCCACAAACCTGCAGGGGAAGGTTGATATTACACTGTTAAAATTTGTGTATATATTCAACATAATATAACATATAAAATTTTTTAACGATAAAATTCTGTTATATATATATATGATTTACGTCAATTTACAGTAAATGACACTATATATTTAATTTGTATAATTTTTTTTAATCACTTCTTAAATAAGCATTTTAAAGATTTATTGTATTCACATCCACTTTTTTGATCTTTTAAGTTTTTCATTTTTCTTTCAATGGCTTTAAACTTACAATATCTAAGTAGGTATTTTTTGAAGATAATCAATATATCCTTTATTAAACTTAATCTTAATATTTGTTTAAACCACAAAGCTTAAAAAAGCATAAAAAGGCTAAATTTAATAAATTCTAAAGTCAGAACTTAGGTCCCCTTTGGTCCAGGTCATCTGAATCAGCGTTTGTTAGTTTGTAACCAAAGAAAATAGAATATAATTAGAGTGGAATTTACTAGAAAACAGTGTAAATTGGCCATTTTGTTGTACTGTATCCATACTGCAGGTGTACTTCACATATACGACCTTTTGGGCCCTGGAACATCATTTTATAGAAAATCTAAAATTAATTACGATGATTTTCCGCTATAACTATAAATCAATTGATGTTTTTATTCACCTCATTCATTTTATAAAGTTTATTTAACGGCTTTAAAAAATTCGAAATTGAAATGAATAGTCTATAGGGAACATACTGTATTAATGTACTCTACTGTACATAATTTGTGAATATTTACATGATTTGTACACTTTGAACTCCCTTTCAGGCTGAAAGGGAGTGGCAAAATTTATTCCGAGAGATTGTCTAAATTCCACTCTAATAAATATATATTCTATTCTCTTTGTTTGTAACCAACAAACTTTAAAAAGACAGAACCGATCAAACGCTCCGTGACCAAAGGGAAGGGATGCAAATATTTGAAAATCCACAAAAAAAATATTATAAAATCCACGAACTTTTTTGTCATTGTTTTATTTGTACAAAGAAAGGATGCTCGCAGATTGAGTCACAATTAAAAGTTAAAAAGAAGTTAAAAAGAAAATGCACACGAAGCGCCTTCAATGCCTAGTGATGTTAAAAAAGGCTTTTGGAACCCTGACCCGTGTTCGACCTTTTAATATATTGTGATTATAAAAAGCAAGATGTGTGGTGAAGGGATGATTGGGCAATATAACCGCAATTTCCGGGCATGCATAATGCATATACATTAAGGGTATCCAAATAAAGGTAAAAGTTAAACCAATTTTTGCAAAATGTAATTCGTTGTCATTTTTATTTGTCCTTTTTTGACAACCATTCTGTGATTGTAACGGTCTTTTAATACAATGGTTGGCGTTTATGGCACTTCCTGGTTAATTGACAGCTTCTCCTTGTATATGAATCCATACTGCTTGAAAGTTTTGTAAACATCTAAATGGAAATTGAAAGTATTCTTTAGTTTACTATATATATAAGAATGACTTTAGCATACCAAGTGACTATTTTGGTCGGTAAATTTTATTCATAGGTTTTAGATTTTTATTAAGAAGTAGTAAAAAGAAATTCTAATTTAGATTAAATAATTAAATAAAACATAGGACTTTTAATATGTCTAACCAAGGATGTAATGCAAGGAAAATTATTTCAGAAGTGTACACATCTTTTGTACTGCAGTGTACTGTCTCTGGGCGGTAATGTAAACACAAGACGGATGTCAAAAACTGACATGGGATCCATCTTTCACATAAAAAAATCAATGAAATATTCTGGTCATTGGAAACTATTATGTGAATTATCAAAATTATCAAAATTAAATGCTTTTAACCTCCTCGGATACTAAACGAACACTGATGCATAAATTCTTTTTTACAAATTCCGCCCAAAAAGAACTGGTTTCAATATGTATGCATTGCAGAGTATACGCGACCGCAATTAACTTTCCTTGCATGGCACCCTTGTGTCTAACTATGAATCTTACTACAACTATCTTGTGTTACAATTTAAAATAATGTTTACAACATCAGTTTTCAAAGATGTAGGGAGTAGAACATTGAAGTTAGACGAAAGTAAAAATTGTATGTCAGTTCTATCTTTGAAATGAATAGTGAGACACATGAACTGTGGAATAGAAAGGCGAATGTTAGGTTGCAAGTTATTTTTTAAAATAGTCCAATAATAAACATAAAGCACAGCCATTGATTAGATAAGATAATTTTCATGCGTATAACTCTCTGTTTTTTAACAACATCAATTATATATGTACACACATTTCAATATCTAAAACGTACCTTAAAGCGTACCTTAAAACGTATCTTATTACATATCTTAAAACGTATCTTAAAACGTACCTTAAGACGTACCTTAAAACGTACCTTAAAACGTACCTTAAATTGTAACTTAAACGAACCTTAAAAAATACCTTAAAACGTGCCTTAAAACGTATCTTAAAACGTACCTTAAAACGTACCTTAAAACGTACCTTAAAGCATATTTTAATACGTACTTTGAAATATACCTTAAAATGTACAAAACTTACCTTAAAACGTACTTTAAAACGTATCATAAAATATTTAGCGGGGTGCTAATAAGCATGAATAAGTAAGACTGAGTAGTCAATGCTAACTGAATATATATTTATCAAACAACAGTATTTATACAAGATGCAGTATACTATAATCTAAACAATAACAATAACAATGTGTACTGCATTCCAGGAATCCAAAAGGGGCATCACAAACGTACCTTAAAATGTACTTTAAAACGTACCTTCAAACTTAACTTAAAACGTATCTTAAAACGTACCTAAAAACGATACACATCCATAATTTTGGGTCTCACTGTATCAAATCAAGAAATCATTGAGCTTATTAGGGTCCTTGGTTAGCTTGCTACATGGAATCTCTATTTGTTTATCCATTGATCTCTGTGTCCCAAGTTTTTATATAAATTATCCCAAAGTAATCTTATCTTTGATCCTGAGACTAAACTAAACTTTATCATATCCCTCTGGAAACAAGACAGGAGGATAAGGTAAAATGTATGCGACATCACTGGTTCATCTTTGTGACCTCGTAGCTCCTCTAGTTTTCATTTTAAGTATAAGAAAATTTTCCGGTTACATATTTTAAAATCAAAACAGTTTTTTTCTAAATAGTTTATCTAAAAGAGTTATGATTGAAAATCCATAAGATTTAAATCTTACATGAATATTACTTTTGTTTGATGTGATGTCAAAGGTTTCATTGCAAAGATATATGGTTTAGATAATTTGTTAAAATTATTGTTACAAAAATTGCTATAGTTATGCTTTAGAACTGGATTCACATCATTATTAAATAACTTTCAAATTTTTCAATAACTTTTAAACACAAAAGTTTGAGAAATTAAACAACATACTGTACAATTTTTAATGTACTGTAAACAATTTTAGTGTTGACTATATTATATAACTTTCAAATTTTTCAATAACTTTTAAACTAAAGGGTTTGAGAAATTAAACAACATACTGTACAATTCTTTATGTACTGTAAAGTGTACACGGGAAAAAAAACATTTTGGTTAAATTAAAACGATTTTTTTTAATACGCGATTACATTAAAAATAATCGTTTTTTATGTTAAAAATAAGCTAATTTTTTGTTGAAAATAAACGATTTTGTGTCGCTTAATTGGCAGTCACCAACTTCTTCTGAAATATAAGCGATTTTTTTATGAAACAAAGCGATTTTTTTAAAAGCGATTTATGTTAAGCGACTTTTTGTCGCCTAATCGGGTGCCATCCAACTTTTTTACCCAATTAGGCGACTTTTTATCGCTTAATTACGACTTTTTTAATTTAGAGTATCAAAATAATCATGCTTCGCAAGATCAGAAAAAAATCTTAAATAAATTGTTATAATTTAAATCTATTCAAGTTTAAGACCAAATATGATGCAAATTAAAGTATGATATAAGGTTTTCCAACGCAAATGGATGTTACTTTGCGCGCAAAATTGCGAGCCCTAAAATCCCGCACAATTCCGATTGTAAACCCTAATAGATATCCATCATTTTATTTTTCTTTAAAAAGTAATGCTTGAAATTTCTAAGAAATAGTATTCTGGTTTTATATTAAATTCCTAACTTTATTATACCCTGGAAATATTTTGAGAAAAATGACCTCTTTCCCTCAAACTTTAAGATAAATTTTCAGATTTCCCCGCCAAGCATTCTTTTTTTGCGCCTAATATTTTTTTTTTGGGGGCCAAGTATTCTATTGCACAAAATACTCTAATTTCCCACCATTTTTTTATTCGCCAAAAATACTAATTTCCCCATGAAATATTTTCATTTTCCCGCCAAATATTCTTAATCTTGCTGTCAATAGAGAAGATTAGCCTAGAGCCACTCTTGTCTGAGATGGCGGAGCTTATTCAGAGAATATCAGACAATTTTTAGATTCATCAACTTCGGAATATTCCGGGAAATGTTTTTGAAAATGTTCTACTTTAGACTGATTAAACTCGGGGGAAATAACTGATTCAAGTTTTTATACAGTAATGACGACTTTCGATTCTAAATTTTTAATTCAACCAAGATTTCTAACAGCATAGATATACATTAATATTGAAATAATGAGAAATTGTAAACAAACAGCTTCGCTGTGTAATTGTGATTTCAAAAAAAGCTTGTCAGAAATGTTGACTCTTTTCAGCAAATTTAAATTCCAAAAACATTTTAGAAGTTGATAAAAATGCTTAAATTTTTTTGCCGGTATTTGATAATTTAT